GACGGGGGAAAGGTGACCCAGGGGGGATGCGGCTGCGACTACCAGAAGATGCGCCTGCCAGAAGAGGCTGCAATGAAGGCGGCCTGAGGTGGAAGCAGCGACGACAACGGCGGCCCGAGGCGATGGTGACCAGAAAATGTGATGCGGCTGCGACTACCAAAAGATGCGCATGCCAGAAGAGGCTGCAATGAAGGCGGCCTAAGGTGGAAGCAGCGACGACAGCGGCGGCCCGAGGCGATGGTGACCAGAAAAGGTAGTGGCAACCGGAGATGGCAATAAAGATGCCTGGAGGAGGCGGCGACGATGAAGGCAACTCTAGGTGGCGGCGACGGTCAGATTTGTTATGTACTATGCAACGTTGTAGTTCCCTCTTTTTCAAGCTCTGGACTGGCTATTTCCCCAAGGTTTAGGTCCCCCTTCGTGAGGGGTTTGATGCTCTATTTATATAGTCCAAATTACAAATAAGAAAAAAATCCAAGCCACTCTTGATCGGATGTCCCAAATAGATCCCCTTGATTGAATGACGCTTTATGTACATTTGACTACCTTAACAATGCCAGAATTGAACGATGTTAGGCTCGTTGGATTTGTCTCCCTGGCGCTCTCGATTTGACTATAAGTATGTCATATTCGGTGTCCGCCTGACCTTCCAGTTATATCCTAAAGACTTCCAAAAATATTTTATTGGCTTGATTCACTTAGATTGGAATGATTTTTGTTTCATTTAGTTCATCTCTTCGAGCCCAATTGTTTGATCATAAGTTTGTTTAAATCAGGGCTCTAGATTTTGAAAAGTTGTTGAGAAAGTGAATGTTTCATTTAGTTCATCTCTTCGAGCCGAATTTAAGTGAATGTTTCTTACTAAAAAAATTTATCTCGAGATCTATCGTGTCTCGTGATTCATGCCGGATTTTAGAAAGTTGTTGAGAAAGTATCAATTATAAAATTTAATATATTTTAAATGCAACTTAAAAATGTAATATAAAATTATCATAATAATATTATTTATTTATTTATTTAATGCAAAACTTGCTCTATCTAGTAAAACTTTTTAGCATTTCATTTATAAATTGAGCTTCTAATGAACTTACCCAGTGAGCAAATGCAAGATAAGGTCCCATAAATTGAACAAGCATCATGAATAGCCGATAAGACAGTGGCTGCATGATTGAACCAAAAATAAATAAATAAAACAATTATTTATGAGAAATAACAAAATATTATCTTCATTCGATCGGGGACTCATCCCCTCAACATGAACAACTCCACCAGCAGACAAAAAACAATCGGCACAAGCACGCGCGGTCATCATTTTTTTTTTAATTTTAAAAATTAATTTCGCTGCAGGATATTATATTTTAATATTAAAATATTTTTTTTTAATATTAAGATTAATGTAATTATATGATGGGATTTTTCACAACCTTTCAATTAATATTTGCAGAACTCCATGCCTTCAAAATCTCTCATTAATAAATAGCTACAAATTAAAATATTATCATATGAGTTTATAAAATATAAAATAACACGTTGTCACCTCAATATTCTGCAACATTTTGTAAATAAAATATTTTTATTTTATAAATAATATTTTTTTTATTTTTTTAAAGAATAATTTTATATTTATATTTTTGACATCTAAGCCTTCATATTTATGTTTATAACACTCGATCTTTAACATCACATGATAAAACCACTTACTCATTTTTTTAAAATAACATGCACATTTTGATGAATAAAGTTATAAAACCAAACATTATAAATTTAAATATCAAACTTTAAGAATAAGATATGTAAACACAAAAAATATGTTGTTCCGAAAAAAAAAAAAAAAAACATTTGAGCCACATATTTTAAAACCCATCAAGCTTCAATTTATCATAGGTTTGATCTGTAAATAACAAAAGCTTCTAGTGCTCTGTTACATACAATGCAGAGTTGCGTACGTCGGGGGATTATTCAGAAGGTAAAAGAGGGTTATATCTGTGTTAAATCCCATTTAACCTCTCTTTAACCTACCCGTAACCTATCTGTAACCTACAAATAAGTTCCGCGCTGCTGTAGTTCTGGTAGTTACAGGAAAGTTACAGGGAGGTTACATAAGGGTATAAAATGGATATAACCCGTCTGTATCCTCTGAATAACCCCCGATATACGCAGCGACATGTACGTCTTCAGCAACCGAACATTACTTTTTACAATTCAAGCATCCTTTTCATCTATTTTTCATATTCTCGCTCAAATGTCAACATTCATCATAAAACCCCACACCTATACTTATAATTTTTATATAATTCTTAATACTTTTATAGCAGCATACATAAATACATCAATTTAGTAGTTCAAAAATCTCCCTTTATGCTATATTTGGGCTGCTGTGTAACATATTTCTATATTTGAGCCACCATAGAAATTATTAAAAAAGCTCTAGCAGTGATATTTTCACATATTAGGTGCCTTTCATCAGTCTTCTTCGTCCAATTTCAAGCAGTGTTGATTCTGCCACCACTTCGCTTTCAAGGTTTGCCTACCAACACACTCTTGTTGAATTAGATGCCATGATGAAAGTTTTAAGAAATTAAATATGAGTTGATGGAGATTATGAGAAGCTGGGGCTGAATTATAGCTTTAAAAATAAGGACAATTACAAACATACATGTTAGATATGGTTCATATATCATAAATGGACAGTGCTAAATCAGGAGCGGAGCAGAGCGGAAGATTCTGTCTAGATTAGGGGAGTTTCCTTATGTGGGTTGGGGTTGGGATTGGAATGATTATGAGAGTTTCCTTATGTGGGTTGGGGTTGGGATTGGAATTGTGGTACAGGGGTAATTTGTTAATTACATATTGTACCTAAAGTTTCTTTTTATGTTCTTTCTAAGGTTATAAATATGTTTGTATGTAACCCAAGGCATTACACATCATATTCTGTATTATGTACTTTTATGGATTAGCGAAAAGGCCGCCGCTCTGCTCCCGAGGACATAGGCATCTTTGTCGAACCTCGTTAAATCTTTGTGTGTTCTTCTGGATTTGTGTCGTTCTTGTTTTTCTTCGCCCTAATTTCTCAACAAGTGGTATCGGAGCCTGGTTCTAGGAGAGCGAAGAAAAATGTTGGCGCTCGGAAGAGGAAATTTCGGCTTCAGTGAATTTGCCAAGGCAAAGAGCTCGCGGTTTGGGTTTGGCGTTTGATTGGGTGCAGAGGGGTTCCGCGAAGGAGGCTTCGTGGCACAGATCTGATCGGCTTCTCGGACCAGGCAGCGGATCGCAATCCGGAAAGAAAAATTTTTCTTCACGCGAGATCAGTTGGAGATCGGCTGCGACTGGAGTTCGCGAAGGATGTTCACGGAGGAGGGGAGCAGTTCGTGAATCACAGCATTACTCCGCCTGCGACCAAAAAGTTCACATAACAGGGAGCATCAACGCGGTAAGAAAGGAAGGCGCACCTGAGCATCAACGCAGCAGGAAAGGAAGGCGCAACAGGATATTCCCTTAAATTTTCTTTTGTTGCAGGAAGCTAGAATTTGAATTTTTCGTTTGCTGCAGAACCGAATTTCCTGGAAGAAAAGTTTTTTGAATTTAACTTAATTAAAGGAAATTTTTTTAATTAAGTTGATTTAAAAAATATTTAATTAAGGAAACTTAATTAAAATTTTCTATGTTGGAGGCTGGAGAAGGAAATTTGGAAGATTTTCAAATTTTTATTCCAGGAAGCAGGAAATAAGAGAAGATTTTGAAAGAAATATTTCAATCTTTTCTTTTCAAAAAAAAAATTCTTTGCTTTCCTGAAAAATTTAATTAAGGCAACTTAATTAAGGGGCTTTTTTAATTCTTCTTTTTTTTCTTCTTGAAAAGATTTTGAGCAATGATTTGCAGAGAAATTTGCGGAAGTTTTTGTGGCAAGATCAATTTTCAAATGACATTTCTTGGTGCAAAATTCAATGTAGTGAAGTTCGATGGAACTGGTAACTGTGGATTGTGACAAACAAGAGTAAAAGATCTATTGGCTCAACATAGAATCCTGAAAGCTCTGCTGACAGCAAAACCAGATATCATGGAGGATGATGATTGGGAAGAATTGCAACAACGAGCGACAACAACTATACGCTTATGCCTAGCAGATGAATTTAAAATCTCCAGGGGATATATGGAAGAAATTAGAAACTCAGTTTATGGCTAAATCTTTGACCAATAAATTGTATCTGAAGCAAAAGTTATATGGGCTGAAGATGCAAGAAGGTTCTGATCTGACACAGCATGTTAATGACTTCAATCAAATAATCACAGACCTGTCACTACTTGATGTGAATATTGAGGATGAAGATCGAACGATGATTTTATTGTGTTCACTACCTTCTTTCTATGAACACCTGATAACTACTTTTACATATGGGAAAGAAACTATCAAAGTTGATGAGATTACTGCAGCATTGTTGGCACACAACCAGCGGAAGCAGAATGAAGGGGAAAGCTCTCATGGCGACAGTTTATATGTGAACGGTGAGCAGGATCATGGAAGGAAGAAAGAGAAGGAGGGATCAGGAAGGCGAAATTCCAGATCCAAGTCCAAAGGCAAAAAGATAATTTATTGCTACAATTCCAAGGAACCAGGTCATATGAAGAGAGATTGTCCAAAGCTCAAGAAGTAGATTGGGGAGAAAAGTGATGGATCATCGAAGTCTGTAAATGTGGTGCAAAGTGACAATTCAGATTGCAGTGATGACGATATCCTTTCAGTTTCATCAACTCAGTTCACAGATGCATGGATTCTTGATTCAGGGTACTCTTATCATATAACACATAACAGAGAGTAATTTACTTCATACAAGTCAACTAATTATGGCTCAGTTTACTTGGGTGATGATAGATGCTGCAATATTGTTGGTATTGGAGAAGTCAAGATTAAGATGTATGATAACACAATTAGAATGTTATGTGATGTCAGACATATTCCAGATCTGAAGAAGAACTTGATTTCCTTGGGCACTCTACATATAATGGTTTTATTCCTAAGGTTGATGAGGATAGGGAAACCATCAAAGAAAAGTTAATTGCATACAATATTTACAAACTATTGGGGAGTACAGTTGTAGATGAAGTTCATTTTATGGAGTTAGATGATGATAGAATAAAGCTAGGCATATGCGTATGGGTCAGCTCAGTGAACGTGGAATGGCAGAATTGCATAGAAGAAACATGTTGCATGGTGTTAAAAGCTGCAAGCTCGATCTTTGTAAGTTATGTGCTCTTAGAAAACAAACTAGAGTGAGTTTTATGACTGGAAAGTACAAAACTGAATGAATTCTTGATTATGTGCATTTTGATGTATGTGGCCCTACTAGGGAGTCGTCATTGGGAGGATCTCAATATTTTGTTACCTTTATTGATGATTTCTTCAGGAAAGTTTGGGTGTATTTCTTGAAGTAGAAATCCAAAGTCTTCTCTAAATTCAAGTTGTAAAAAGCTGATGTGGAGAACCAAACTGCCAGAAAGATCAAGTATTTGAGGTCCGATAATGACACAGAGTACATAAATTCACAGTTTCAAAAGTTCTGTGAGGAGCATGAGATTCAAAGACATTTTTCAGTGTGCAAGACACCACAGCAGAATGATGTGGTAGAAAGGACAAATATGTCCTTAACTGAAAGAGCAAGGTGCTTGAGACTGAATGCAGAACTTCCTGAGAGTTTCAGTGCAGAGGCTGTGAATATGACATGTTATCTCATCAATAGATCACCTCGAGCATCATTGGGTGGCAAGGTCACAGAAGAGGTATGGACAGGTAATCCAGTTAAATTCGATCATTTACAAATTTTTGGTTGTTTTGCTTATGTGCATGTACCTGGAGATGAAAGATCAAGACTTGATGCAAAATACAAGAAATGCATCTTTCTGGGCTATAAGAAAGGCGTGAAAGGATACAAATTTTGGGATTCGATTGCAAAGAAAATGATGATCAACAGAGATGCAGATTTTTATGAGTTGTTTATGTTACAGCAGAATCAAGATAATGTGTCAGAGAAGAGTTCCAATTCAGATACAATGCAGATGGATTTAGAACAGCAGTCAGTAGCTTCTGAGAGAGGTGAAAGTTCAAATCCAATACCTGGTGATTCTATTCCAGATTATCTGCAGAATTATAATCTAGCTAGAGATAGACAGAGACGTACCAATGTAAGGCCTCTAGCAGATTGAGTTATGAAGACTTAATCTCATGTGCACTTCTCATCAGCAACGATGATCCAACCACTTTTTAAAAAGCTATCACCAGTCAGGAGAAAGAGAAATGGATGGTTGCAATGGTTGAGGAGATGGAGTCTTTGTAGAAAAATTGCACATGGGAGCTAGTTCAGCTTCCAGAGGGAAAGAAGACTATTGGGTGCAAATGGGTCTACAAAAGAAAACCAGCAGTATCAGAAAAAGAAGGGGAAAAGTTCAAGGCTCGACTAGTCGCAAGGGGATTTTCACAGCAGAAGGGGATAGATTATGATGAAATCTTTCTCCTGTTGTCAGACATAATTCAATCAGGGCAGTGCTTGTATTAGTAGCTATTTGGGATTTGCATTTAGAGCAGATGAATGTTAAAACTGCTTTCTTACATGATGATTTGGAGAAGCAGATTTACATGGAGCAACCAGAAGGGTTCACTCAACCTGGGCAGGAGCATCTGGTTTGCAGGTTAAAGAAATCGTTGTATGGGTTGAAACAGCCTCCAAGGCAATGGTACAAGTGGTTTGACTCCTACATGGTTCAAATTGGCTACAAGAGATTTGAGTATGATTGTTGTGTTTATGTGAAGAGCCTTGATGATTGTTCTATTATTTTTTATTGTATGTTGATGATATACTGATTGTTGTAAAAAATATGAATGATGTTCGTGGTTTGAAAGCTTTATTGAGTCAGGAACTTGACATGAAAGACTTAAGACTTGGGTCCTACGAACTTGGAATGGAGATTCATCGAGACAGAGGCTCGAGACGATTATGTTTATCTCAACGAGACTATATTGAGAAAGTGCCAGACAGGTTTCAGATGAGCAAAGCAAAGTTTGTCAGCACTCCTTTGGCAAATCATTTTAAGTTTTTTTCAGAATAGTGTCCTAAGACCGATGCATAAATCGAAGACATGGCAAATATTTCATATGTCAGTGCAGTTGGCTGCTTGATGTAAGCAATGATATGTACTCGTCCTGATTTGGCTCATGCTGTTAGTCAAGTCTGAAAATATATGGCTAAACCTTGAAGGCGACATTGGGAAGAAGTCAAGTGGATTTTTAGGTATTTGAAGGGTACTGTAGGACATGGAATTAATTTTAGAAGTCAGCAGAATAATCCTTCAGTTGTGGGGTATGTTAATTCAGACTATGCAAGTGATTTGGATGACACAAGGTCTACAACTGTGTATGTGTTTACTATTAGTGGAGGGCCTATATGTTTGATATCAATAATTCAGTCTATTGTGGCATTATCTACAACTGAAGCTGACTACATGACAGTAGCTGGAGTTGTTAAAGAAGTCTTATGGCTTGTTGGGCTAGTAAAGGAACTGGGCATTGAGCAAGGTGGAGTTCAGTTGCATTGTGACAGTCAGAGTGCTATTTAACCAGATGTACCATGCGAGAACCAATCACATTGATGTCAGGTATCACAAGATCAGAGAATTGATTGTTTCTGTGGAGATACTGTTGCAGAAGGTTCATACTGATAAAAATGCAGCTGATATGTTGACCAAGTCAGTTACTATCAACAAGTTTTTGCATTGCTAGGACTTGTTGAATGTCTGCAGTTGCTAAAAAAACATGGTGGTCTAACCCACTTCTGATATGTAAGGAACTCCATGAGGTTTTTCGCCTAAAAGGGTGGATATTCGCTAAGGTGGAGATTTATTAAATATGACTCATATACCATAAATTGACAGTGCTAAATCAGGAGCAGAGCAGAAGATTCTGTCCAAATCAGGAGAGTTTTCTTATGTGAGTTGGGGTTGTGGTACAGAAATAATTTAGTGATTGCATATTATACCCAAGATTTTTTTATGTTCTTTCTAGAGTTATAAATGTATGTATTGTGATACAGAAATAATTTGGTAATTGCATATTATACCCAAGAGTTTTTTATGTTCTTTCTAGAGTTATAAATGTATGTATGTAACACTAGGCATTACACATCATATTTTGTATTATGTACTTTTCTGGATTAGTGAAAAATTTGCCGCTCTGCTCCCGAGGACGTAGACATCTTTGTCAAACCTCGTTAAATCTTTGTGTTATTCTGAATTTGTGTCGTTCTTACTTTTCTTTGCCCTAATTTCTCAACAATACCACCCACTTCTTATGCATTTAAACATAAAAAAATCTAAATTTTACTTTATATATTTAAGTTTTTCAGTTGTGAAGCTGCTAGCAAAGCAAACAAAATACAATTTTGTCAAACACAAAATGCAGTTAGGCTCTGTTACAAAAAATAAAAATAAAAAAATTTCACTTTAATATCACATCATAAAAGTGAAACACATCTTTTCAAGCACAGAAAAAGTGGCATATATCTAATAACTTGAAATTTAAGTATTAAGATATGTAAATGCGTAAGAATTGAGTCATATGTATGTAAAAATAAACAAGTGACATTAGACAATCAGAAGATAACAGTTCTCTACAAACTCAGTTGAAAAATAAGAGCTTTCGCGACACTTACATTTCACAGACAACAGCAATAAAAGAAAATTAACAATAAAAAAAGAACTTGCAATGCAAAATCCATTCTTTTATTCAACTCAACACTCTGCTGCTCTGTTTCTGTTGACAGCTCCCAGCTGTGGACAAAGCAGAAGGAAGAAGGTCAACAAGTATTCATTTGAGCAACTAATGAATACCAGAAACAACATTAAGGAAGACTGAGCTTACAGATGATGCAGAAAGCTCCGAGTTCTTCAGCACTCTCAACCTCTTCGCAGTAGAAACAAACATGCTGCATGTATCAGATTATGAAAATTTATTTAAATACAGAAATTTCAGTGTTAAACAGATGATGCAATTCTTTTTTGAAGGACCATATGTTTTGTGAGGGAGAAAATTTATTATTAAAATTTCATTGTTAGACGTGCGAGTTCAATTGAAGTGTTGCCTTGCTGATGTGCACAAAATGTGTGATGTATGTTTACTTTATTTTCTTTCAATGAAGTTTACTTCATTTTCTTTCCACATGTTTAGTAACTAAGAGATTTATGCTTTTTTTATTCTATAATGTAATGATTCTTAGTCAATAGGGGAGAATTTCTTAAGACTATTTAGAAATTAATTGCATGTTGGTGTGTTAATTTTTCAAATTTTATTTACTTTTCAATTGAATACTTGTAAAGTTAAAAACTTTTATGATCAAAGACTATTGAATGTAAGCTACAAGAACAAGTTTAACACTCAATCACTCGGGGCAAAAGGAATGTTGGCATTATGAAATCACAATTATATTGGAAAAAGAGGATTCCTGAAAGACTTTGCAGGGTTAAACGAAACTTCACTATAATATAAAGCTTTGCCGCTACTTATGTCTAGAAATAGAATAAGGATTAATTGTGTCCTTGATTGTCAATGTTAAGTTAGAGATATTAATTGGAAGAATAATGAGAATTAACAAGATGCAATTCAAAGAGGCATGAATTTCATATTAAAGAATACAAACATATTAGATTTACTTTCGTAAAATTAGCAGTTAAACACTTTCAAAACTTTCACGAATTTGAGCTAGACTCAGGGTTAGTAAATGAATATTTTGACATATTCTAAAATTAACAAAGTTTCTTATGAGGTTGATGCTTGGACTATAAATCCATATATTACTTGATCAACACTTATACTTATAATATCCCAAGCTTCCCAACATTCTAGAGGGATCACTTAATCATTTGTCATGAACAAACCATTATACATTTATGGGAGAATGGCATAATCATAAGCTTGTTAATCATAAAGTTTAATTTGATTATCATGAATCTCAGAAGTATCAAGAAGGAAGAGTTTGTAATAAGCACAAGTAAATGAGTCATGTTGAGCTCAAGTCATGCCTAACTCGGGCTCGGCTATTTTGTCAAAAAACAAGTTTGAGCTTGAGCTCGGCTTGCAGTAAGTGATCAATGATGGGAGAGGAGAAGTTTCGTGGTAGCTCACCGAAAAAGGCATTGACGTGACCGTAGTCCGACTAGTCAACCCAACGAATCAAGCTTTGGATGAGCTCGAGCTCATTTAATCTTAAGTAAAAAATGACCACTCTCTCGTATGTCCCACAGCCCATATAGGAATAGTTTGGGTTTGCTTTAATTCAAACCAAAGAAAAGAAAAATAAAAAACTATGCACATATTTTACTTTCCTAGTACTTGCCACCAATCAATCCCTATTTTCACCATATCAAATTGGTTATCAAACTTTTTTTTTTTTCAGTCAGCAAAAATTAAACTGTAATAATTTAGCATCTAATATAGTATGGGCACACACTTTTACATGTCCATACAATTTGTTTTCATCATCTATCCCCCAAATGCGCATAACAATTTGATTTTTCATAAAAAAAAGTAAATAAATCTTACTCCCAAGGAACATCTCCAACCATCATTCTGTCCCCTTCATTGTCTTCATACACTAAACTATATTCACCGCTGACATCCAGCAAGCCCGTGAATGCCATTCTTTCACTTTCACTGATCCCACTACCAGAAGCTGTAGGGTCCCTTTGAGCTACATTTAAGATTAAAAAAAGACAAATCCCTGTCAAAAAGCTTACTTTTTTCAAAAAAAAAAAAACGCCAGCTGCAATTCTGACAAAAAGATCAGGCTTTATAAAAACTGTTTGGTTGATTGAAAAATTCAATTTTTAGCCTGCGTTTTTTCTAAAGTTCAAAATTTTACTTGCTGATTCATTTTCTTGAAAGATGGCATTCAAAAATTCAACTTGTATAGCAGTCTGTGTGATTTACCAGCAAGAAGGCCACAGAAGAGTTCTTCCACTATTGAACAGAGCTTCTGGTAGTTTTCACAAGCATTAAGGTCCAGTTTCCTTCCAATAGGGATACCATCCATGTTGATCTTGACAAACAAACCCTTCTTCGAAGTATTGCCCTTCAATACATTCTCTCGAACCCCATTTTTTAACTCATTTGATTGTTTGGTTGATGTGATAGCAATGTTCTTTCGAAACGACCGTATTGGAGGCCACCCAACAACTGGAGAAGTGGTTGCTCTGTGGAAAAAAATTTCAGAAAATTTTTATACCATTTAGTTAAAACAAAAAAACTGAGATGTTTGCAATCTAAGATGGGAACTAATGATGAACATCATCTAGTAATTTAAAATTTTATTTTAAATTTAGAAATCTCTGATAAAATTTAAAAAAAATAAAAACATGCTTAGCTCATGCAGTAATTATCACACCCTAGCACTGAGAAGTGTGAACCCAATGGGAGCCGGTGTTCGGCTAAATACATCAATAGCCAATCAGTTGAAATTTCTACAACATATTTTTCAATATTGCTAATCTAGGCCCATGGAAGCAAAAATAGAAGTAAATCTCATTATTTTTATTGATTATTACACTAAAGCTATGGGTGCAGAACATAAGAAACAGGCCTTTCAAGTGCTGATTTTTTTTTAAGGAATGTAACATGCTTGTGTTTCATGATGTGTAACAAAACCAAAGCTCATACACGCCAACAGATAGCAAGCTCAATCACCCACAAATCCATTCCAGTTAACATTTTTTTAACTATTGAACATGCTCTGAAATTGACAACATAACATAAGCACAATTTTTTAGTTACTCTTTCGTGAAAAGAACATTCTTTTTCTATATTGACAACAACATAAGCACCTCTTAGAATAGAAAAAAACAATTATAGCCCACAAATGATGCATTGAGATTTAATAAGGCTTTTAATCACAAAATCCAACTTCATGTGGGACAGTTTGAATACCCTTCCAACTCACATCAAGACAATAAAGATAAACAAACAAGCAGAAAACAAAAAATTGTGAATGAAATAAATGTACAGAATTATTACAACGAAAATAAAGAAAAATATTAATGAAACAATAGTGGCAAGGCAAAGCAATTAATACTACCTTATCTGAGTGCTGCTCTTCACCAGAGCAACATTATCAGAAGAAGCGTGCGCTCTTATCAAATGAGTCTGTTCCATCATCCCATTAGCTTCTACTGGAGATTCTTTACTCAAGCCAGCTATGAGCTGCAGCTGTAAAGGCCCACGTTGCTGCTGTTGGAACCCTGCCAGTAAAGAAGAAAAGAGAATAAAATGAACTTATAGATGAATGAAATGCAAAAACAATCTTTTAAAATTCCAACCTTCTTTTTTGGGTTCAGCTGTGTCCAAAAATCCCATTTTGGCTTCAAAAAAAGCTTTTTTGTCAAAAGATTTGGAGAAATTTGAGAAGCAGGTCGACGAGCGATTGGAAGTTAGCTTCTCTTGCTCCTCCTCGGCTGCTGGCCAGCCCTCTCCTCCAGGAGGAGCAAGCGTCAGCTCTAACTTCTTCTCTTCTGAAGCTCCTAAGCTTTTCCCTCCTCCTCCTGCATCTCTCTTTAACCAGTCGTCAACTGAAATCAAATCAAGTAGTTGAGGGCATTCACCGCCCCTCTTTCTAAATTCTGATTCCATTGATGTCCTCTTCTCTTATATTAATAAGTCGCTGTTGAAGAAAAATTGTGAAAAATACATGTTTAGATGAACAAAAGCTCTAGCTTTGCAACCATAATGTTCATTATTTAACATATTTCAATCCACAGCATGAATACTGGAATAAGCTGCCGAAAAACACAGAGTCCAAACATTAGAAAAAACAAAATCAGATGTTCATAACTACAAACTACACATACAAGAACACTATAAAAGATAACAAAAAAAATTATATTCATTAAAGAGAAAGCATTGCTAAACCCAACTGAGTACTCACCACTCTCCTCTCTGCGCAAAAACAGAACAAGCGCCCCTGCTCTCTCCTCCTCCTCTCCTCCTCCGAAGCAACACCAATTCCTCCTTCAAATTACATGAAATTCTTCTGAAGAAGAAAACAAAGAAAGCTCTTGCTTCCGCGCGGCCTGCTTTATCTCCTTCTGCCCCAGCGAAGCCACACCAAATACGAAGCAGGAAGCCGAAGCGGAAAGGAAGGGGGATGTCGCAAATCACAAAAGCCGATTCTTTTTTCTCTCAGAGGCCTGTAGATGGAATTGGAGCGTCACTCACGCAAGCACTGGCCAGTCCGAGAGCGGCTCAGTCGAGGCGTGCACTTGTGAACAAAACAGCTCCCTTTCCCAGACTACGCAATGGAGCTGATTGGTGAAGCTTATTCCTCGCGCTCTCTCCCTCTCTTGTTTTGCAGAAGAATCAATTATGCTGCTGCGGAGAAAACGGAGTTCGACAAGCTACTAGAAACCTGTGAGAGCTCTACGGGGCACAGGATTGATATGGAGAGAATAACGTAGGGTGAGCTCATCCTGTGGCTAGTTGCGTCTATAGGCGAAAGGAGATCCTTTTGAGAGCGTAGAGCTCTACTGCAGAAGCAGTAGGCCGCACGCATTTTAATGAAGAATAAATTACAAAATTAAAACTTTTATTTCCTATTTAATATTTAAAGCTATCTATTTTAAAAAATATATTATCCTGTTTTAATTTATTAAATTCAAGCGTGAATAATGAAATTAATATCTGTACATATAAATAGCTCAGCACTAATTTCAAGGTAGGTGAACTGTTCAGGAGGATGATGAAGCGAGCTGTTGATAACCGTTTAAGATGGGATCATTGTGAGAGAGGAGTCTTATTTTTGGAGATTTTTAGCAGTGATTAGCTCTTATCGACGTCAACAGTAAGCATTGAGGAGTCTTATTTTTGGAGTTTTTTAGCAGTGATTAGCTCTTATCGGCATCAACAATAAGCATTCTTACGAATTGAATATCAATTAATTTGAGGATTATCAAATGATCGATAAGCTCTTATCGATCGAATCAGCTCTCTCAATCTTATTATATGCTATGTACTCTCTAATCCTTTACTTCTATCTCTCAACGCTTTATATTTTTAGCGTGTTCTTTGTACCCTTTTGGATTTAATAATATCTAAGTTTTTATCCATACTTTTTAAGGCCCAATTGTTATGTGTTTATATTCTAATATCTAAATTTTAGATTTATATTTCTACACCCCAATTTGTTCTTATTATATGAACAATTTCACCATTTTAAATTTTAGAAGTGAATTACATAATTTCATGTATGATTAATGTGGTATATATATGTAAACAATTCCTAGATTTTTTGGTGTTCGGTGTCTAAAAAAGGAATTTTATGTACATACCTCGCCATTATTATGCATTCACATATCTACCACCTAAAATTTGATATTTGCATCGGTGTTAAAAACTTTTCGATGAAGAGTTGTATTTCGCTTCTAACAAATTAGGAATGAAAGTTACGGAACTAAATATGCAAATATATAATAATAGTTGGGTATGTATGCAAATGCCCCCATTAGATACGAACACTTTATTATTATACTAACACATGTGTATTTAATTTGAGTTATGTGGGCTAATGATCACATCACATGTTTATTATTCTTGTATGGTTTCTATAGTAAATGAATCATTTGATCATACCATAAGTTCTGTTTTCTATAAGAAGTAATATTCTAAACTCATAAAGAATTAAATACGAAACTGAATTTTATAAGCATGTGTGAATTATTAAGCATTTGAGGAACAATACATGCTAGCGACCGAGATCAAAACCATATTTATCATAAATTTATTGTAAAAATTTCATTGACCAGTTTTTTCGTGGATCAAACGGTTCAAGCGGAGCACATGCCACTAGTTAGGGCTCAATGCAGAGCACATGCCATTAGTTAGTGCTCAATCCAAATAAATAAAGAAGCTCTGAGGATGTTTGAATCAGAGTCCGAAGATTGGTCGAGGAGGCCGAAGATTGGTCGAGCGACCGACCAAGGGTCAACTGACACAAAAGAATGATTGAACTAGCAACCGGAGATTGGCCGAGCGGCCGACCAAGGGCCAACTGACACATAGAATGACTGAACTAGATGATGGTATTGATCTAGAAGTCGAATAGGGGCAAAA